CTGGGAAATTCTGTCGCATCCACCATACTCCCCAGACCTAGCACCCTCCGATTATCACTTGTTTCTCTCTTTGCAAAACTTTTTACAGGGAAAAGATTCAAAACTGAAGCTGATATCAACCAAGCACTAGTTGAGTTCTTCGCCTCTAAAAATAAATCATTTTTTAAAAATGGCATTTACATGTTGTCATCGCGCTGGCAAGAAGTCGTAAGTAACGATGGAAAGTATATTCTACAATAAATATTATTAAGTGTATGAAAATTGTGTTATATTTCAATTCAAAAACGGACAGAACTTTCCGGTAGACCTAATACTTTGACACTCCTATAACACAATATAAATACTTTTATCTCTTAATCGAGGCCCACGAGATTCCCTTTTCGCTAACACTCCGCCATGTTGTTTTACCGAATACGTGACAAAAATTTCACGGGAAGAAGGTCAAGCTGAAGTTTCCGATCTATCGATATTACGTCACGTGGTAGGAGATTTCAAAATGGCTGTGCAGGCACTGGAAACTGAAACAGGTAGTTAGTGCTCCTCGATTGGACAATGAAAATGCGTTAATTATCGTGCAATGTAAAACTACTGTGATTTAGACTTCCCAGTGTTATGTTTGTATCGAGTGTGACAAAGAAGACAGCTGCCAACGGGATGTGAACTTTCCGGTAGACCTAATATTATTTGACATTTGACAAGCACAATCATTGAAAATGAAGAGATGTTCGATTCAACAACGCCTGATCATTGTCAAAAATGTATTACAAACTTGGTGAAAGCAGAAGTTGCAAGAAAATTTCGTACAGAATATGAAAGAGAAAACTGTCCATCGAACATGCAGATCAAAAGAATAATTAAAAATATTTGAAGTAAGTGGTTCACTTGCAGATAAAGTTGGCGAACAACATGATCGTAGTGTTTTCTTCGTGGCTATTCAAGTGTACCGTTTGATCGCGAAGCGTGCAAGAAATACGATCAACGATACAGATCCGAGGGAAATTCGCAGCAAGCAAGCGAGATCGACGGACGTTATTCGCGGTAGATGATATAATCCGATTGCGCCGGGAAAGCCGGTGAAAAATCACGTAAAATTTGCACGTTCGGAAACGGCGCGGCGATCGGACGCCTCCGTGGATGTCGGGGCCGTTAATGTCTTCCAGGCAGGGCCCCGGAACGGTATGGCTCGCGGAGGATCCTCCCGAAGTGAGATAGCCGGAGAAAAAGGGGATTGTTCGCGCCTAATGACCCGCGCGGTTATTCCACGTACTCGAACGCGTTCTTAGATCATTTACACGTCGCTGGGAAATAAACTCCACGGAGAAGTTTGCTGGTGGCCGAAGGCGCTGCTAAAGAGAGAGAGAGAGGGAGGGAGAGAAAGAGAGAGAGAGAGAAGAGCGTGTTCCGATTTCTCGGTACAATTTGATGCGAGATCTCTCCTTCACCGGTCGTTTGAAGGAGTTGAAGTCGCTCATTCATCGGTCTCGCCGGGCTTTTCAATCGCCTTCTTCTCCGCGATTCTTTTTTTCCCTGCGCCTTCGCTTCCTCTTCGTCCCGTTCGCGATACCGCCGCCGGTTTTACACTCTCACTGGTTCCGAGATCCGCATCCGCTAATGAAAGATATTGTGATTCCGTAACGATCGCCATCGATTCGAAATTGTACCTCGCTCGACCGCGCATCTTGCCGATTGTTCTGCGCTTCGGTGCATCGGTTGACAACGATGAACGCGGCCACATAGACTAACGAGCTCGATGCTTTTCAGGGACAACCACTCTTCAGCGAATAACAGAAAATCATTACCGTTTCTTGCTGTAAATTCAAATGTAACCGAATCGACGAGCGAGAAGACGACCGCTCGTGTAACAGTACGTTCAACTCTTCGCAGTCGGTGCCAATTTAACTCGAAATCCAAAATAGCTTTTCCGATCTATAGTATTTCCATTGTGTATAAACCAGTGCATTATATATATATATATATATATTATTTAGTATATATATAATATATAATATAATATTATTATATATTAATATTTAATATTATTTTATTATTAATTTAATTTAATTATATTATTAATATTATTATATTAATATATATATATATATATATAATATAAAATGCATATATATGAATTTTGCGACTCGTGCAACAATTACACTTTTAACAGATTTTTAAATATAAACAAAAATTCGATAATATTACAATTATTTTGAAACGTGATGTAACAGTTTTTAGCGGTGTATCGGAGTCGCTGCGCGACTGCGAAGGGTTAATCAGATACGACGCTGGATTAAATCTTTATTGATCTTTACGGTAGCCTTGTATTCGTACAGATCAATTATTTATTGTGAATATTTAAGCAAGGTCGTGCTTAGCATCGTTTGGAATAGAGATCTTTCAATATAATGGAAACATGGTCGCGTTTAGTAGCATCGTAGCGACGTAGAACCATCGGCACCTTGACTCGAATAAAGCAGAGATCGGCGAGGGGAAGCTATAAATTCAGTTTACCGAAATTCTCGCGCAATTTGCCAGTAGAGCGTGGAAAGGGCGTTAAGGATGGCCGGGCGTCAACTATCGAGGCAGCCCGGTATCTTTTTTCGGACGGTCGATAGCTCGCAGAACACGGCGAAGCAGGCGCCGTAAATTACAAAGGCGGGTAGTTGATTTGACAATGCGCGCGGCGGAACGTTAACAACGGGGAATGTTTGATGGGCTTGTACGAGAGCGCGGCTCTGGAACTGTCGTCGCGCGGTATGTAATTCGTGCGGGAGGCAGGCGCGTTCATTAGAGGCAAGGAATTGCGGAAAAATGCGCGCGACCGCGAGGTCCCCCCGCGCCCCTGGCCCCTCGCAAAGGTAAGCAAATAAGGAGGCAGGCGAGCTCTCGCTCCGCCGCGGCGCGCCGTTATGGAGACACACGTAGGATTCGTTTCCGGATGCTCGCGTCCGTCCTCTGCGGTTAACGCGGCTCGTTTATCAAAGCCTTCGCCGCCCTGTTACGCGGAACAGCGCTAAAATTCATCTCGGGCTGCTCCGACAGCCCGCAGGTATGGCGCCAAATTACCTGTTTTCTGTATCACCGACGGCACGTGGCGTCGCACGCCTTGCCATAAGACATCGATGCTCCAAACGAAATGTTACCGTGCCTCCAACCGTATCCTGGACGTTAAACCCTTTCAGCGTGAATTACATACACCGGTCGCATAAACGCATTCCCTGCGCTAAACACGACAACCGTTTCAACCGTTTAATAGTCGCGTGTGTGCATAACTCGGCGTTAATAAAAAATTTTCCTCTCACATTTTGTGGATAGGGTCGATTACTGTGCTGTCCTCCGGGTTAACCGTGGCCTCGCAATAATTTTACTCGTATTTAAAAATAACGTTATATCGAATTGAAGATACTAATTTTTTTGAAATTTTTGACCGATCTTTGGTTTGTTTTCGGGCATAATTAACTGCATATTTATCGAATAAGATGTATGGAATTGTTCGATTCAAAAATAAATAAAATAAAAGTCTACAAAAAAAATTGTTTTTCAAAAGTAAAAAAAATACAGGAATAAAAAACATTTAATACCTCTTATTCCATCAATATAGAGCTAATTATGGCCGTAAATAAACCAAAGGCACAGCAATTGGTCACTCTACAGTAATCGGCTACATTTTCCTAGTATAACAGGTGAATAAGGAGTATATTGATATCGGGAGACTATCGCGGAACTATTCTCACAGTATTTTCTACACGCCAGTTTAATTCATCGTAGAACAAAGCGTTTGTAATGCTAGAAAAACAGCAACGTTAAGCCTGTTTTTTACCAGCGGCTGTCGAAACCAGAAAACTCGGAATTTTTTGGAGCCGTGAGTGGTGGCGGACACTTCAAAAACGGCAGAAATACAACTCCGTGCCAGCGAGGTGCGCGAATATCGTGCAAAACTTACTATTGCGCTCGGTGTACAGGCAAATAAAACACGCCGTTCGAGCCGAAACCATTGTGTTGCAGTTACAGAATCGTCGGTATGCAAACGTAAAGCTGTAGGTATTTCGTAGGGTTTACAAAAAAATCCGATCTACGACGGAATTAATTAGAGCAGAAAAGCTCATCTTTCGAATTACAGGAATCTCGTGGACGCGCGTTGTGCGTTCAAAGGATAAATGGACATCGCAGCGAAAATGGCAAGTTTTAAGTAAATTGGACGGCCGCTTTTTCAGACATCGTGTCATCCAATTAGAAAAATGTCGTTCGGTCGTGGACGCGTTTAAAATTTCAACGGACGGTATCAAAGTGCACGAGCGGCGCACGGAGACCTACGGAACTGCCAATATTTCGGCTTTATTTACAATACTTCGAAATTGCACGAGCACGGGGTTTCATAAAGCTGCGCGAAAAATGCGAGTAGCACTTTGAAGCCGCGTCGAGATGGAGAGCTCTTCGGAGAATCTTGGATTTCGGTGTGCGACGAGGACTTTGGCCGGCGGAGAACGGCGCGGCGCGGCGCCGGAATCGATAGGACCTTAAGGGTGCCGTCCTGGATGGCTCGAGGGATACTGTAAGAACGCCGTGAGCGTCCCATGAAAATTCCGATCACCCCGTTCCGCTGAATTTTTAAGTAACAGCCACGATCGGATTTCGAGCGCGCGATACTCATTATCTTTCGGCGCGATCGCGATCGCCGTGAGGAAACAGGAATTCGGGGAAATTCTAATCCCATCTGGTCGCTCGTTATTTAAAGGATCTGCGCCGCCTTAAAACCTCGCGATTACTCCTTCTTTTTTTTTCGTTTGGAAAGTGGGCACGGCAAAAGGTCTCGTTACTTTACGCGCGGTCGGGCGACGCGACGCTTCAAAGGGACGAGCAAACCTGTATTTCACGCGTCGATGGCCCTGATGCGCGAGAGAATGCGAGAGAAAATGAGAATGTGTGTGTGTGTGTGCGTGTGTATGAAAGAGAAGGAGAGAAACCGCACGGAAGGAACAATAAATTTTTGAAATTTATTGCAGTGTCGTTCTACGGGGCGAGCTACATTCATCTCCCGGTCCAAGAAGCCAAGGGTGCGACCGATATCAGCTTCCGGTTCCGAACTCATCTCGCGGACGCTATGCTGCTGTTGGCCGCCGGCAAGACGGATTACTGCCTGATCAAACTCGAAGCCGGCAGATTGAAGGTTCGTTTGCCCCCAATGCTTGCTTCTATTAATAGGCTTTCTGTTTTCGGGGCCCGGCTTGGTCGTTAACCAACCGCACGTGACGCGCCACCAAGCCGGGACCGACTTGGATCGATCGCGATCCAACGATCCTGCGATACCTCCACCGTCGCGTCTCTCTTAGACCGCGAATATCTTGAGAGATCGCTTGCTGGATTGCTGTACGCGAAATCATTTACCTTCTGTACTTCATCTTTGTTGAGCGGTAGCAGTTTTCGTGAAACTGTTCGGACTGAGAAGTCGATATAAATTCAAGCGGTTTTGATTTCATTCGCTTCAATTGTTGAACCTATTTCTATTTTACTCCGGTGTCTGGATAGTGAACTATGAAAATTCAGATTCGCAGCTACGATTTATTCGTCGCTGTGCAATCTCTTTGAAAATTGTGCACATTATTGTGATTATACACTTTAATGACATATAATATGTAATTCGGTAAGGATATCAGGGTATATATATCTTTTTTAATTAATCAGCTGTTTTTGACGAGTACACTCGTCAAGAAATGGCAACAATTTCTGTTATGACGAGTATACTCATCATGGAGAAATGGCGATAACAAAAAAATTTTTTGTTATGGCCAGTATACTCGTCAAAAGCAGAGTTAACTGGTTAATAAAGTGGCTACAAATCTTTCAAGTTTTATATTCATATTTTACTTTGAATATAATGTAGCCTCCTTTGCTTTTAATTACAGAATCGCATACGCTTTTGTGAAACCGAACGTTTCGTGTGCAGCAATCTAGCAAAATGAACGAAACCGAAGAAAAGTTGCATTATAAAATAACTATGAGAAGAATCTACGTACGCTATAAATTTCGCTGCGTTTAAAGATTCCGAAGAGTTTCGAAAATCTTGCCAACATCCAGCGGAGATAACGAAATTTTTGAAGATCGGTCGTTGAATGCTCGACCTTGATCTTCGAAGTTAGTCTCGCGCAAACGAAATTTCCTGAAGCAACGACAAGCTGCGCGTTCATTGGTCGCGTCGTTGCCCTAAGCTCTCTGTCTGCTTCGGGTAGCTTCTGCAACGCTGTGCTCCAGTTTGAACTCGCGAAGTAACTCTATTCGTAAATTGCAGTTGCTCGTATTCGAAATGTACTGATTCAAATTCCGGCAAACAATGCGGCGAAGTGACTCGGTCACCGTGCAAGACGAAATTTTCTCGTCGCGGCGGTTGAATAAAGACAATAGCCGCAATCGCCTGCAATATGGAAAAAAAGTGGAAGAGGAATTTCCTGAATCTGACGTTCGGGGAATAACGGGAATTTCCATTACGTTTCCCAAGGAGACACGCGGGTGCATTGATGTGTGATTCTACATGCACATAATCATTTAGATAAACGAGCGAAATGAATAAATATGGCTGCAGCTATAACTGGGTCAAAACGAGTCCGCCGTCTGCTATAAGAGGGTCAAAGCGAAAAGACCATGCTCGCGCGGAACGTCTCGAGCGGGAATTCGTTCGGCTGGAATTCGCAATTTTTTTCATCCTCGAAAACCGCCGGCTTTCAGAACTAGATGAAAAAAGTAATTACTATATGTATAACACAGATGTTTGCATGCTCGAATCCCGTTCGGGCACAGGAATAAGTGGAACATTTATTACAGCAAAATTTCTCGCGGAGAGAGATACCGTGATATTTCTTAAACGTTTGCTCGCAGTTTAAAAATCTACGCACGTCGTAAATGCAAGAATGCCTACAGTCCAGTAATCACGAAACGCCACGGTTGAAAGACAGTGTCCCTAAAACGAAATATTGTGGCCACCGGCTGGTCTTTCAAAGACGGACCCATTGTAAGGGCTGCGTTTTCGTGCGAAGTAGCGCGCGCTGCCTCTTCTTTATATTGTAAAACATACAGACACTCGAGACATTTAAATAACATTCTTGTCGTCTTTGAAATACTACGACGCGTCTGCTAGAGAGAGAGAGAGAAATTCTTACGATTATAATTTTTATAGTTCTTTGAAACGTACCCTTTGCACACGTTATCATCTCGTATCGGAAAATTTCTCGTCGCAAAAATCTCGAACAGAATCCTTAAATATTGTAACATTATTTATTACTGTCGCGAATATTATTAATTCCTTTTACACCAAAATCAAATTCCATTACTTTCTTGCCAATATTTGATCATTGGATTAAATCTCAGCATACAATCGGTACAAATTTTCTCCCTCCAGATAATGTAAAAGCTTTTAAAAAAATTATTTTAAAACCTCTTTCTCCATAATATGTGTTGAAATGTGAATATTTTTGATATGCTTTATACCGAGATAACATCTCATTATTTTGTTGTCAATCTTTCAGTATTATAGTAAGATCAGAAGAGAAGCACAAATCATTGTAACCATGAAAATAGTCACAAGGGGAAGGATTGACCTTGCAGAACTACGAATTTAAGTAGAACCAGACAATCGTGGTCAGACAATGCACCGAGTCGACTATGTATCTCGAAAATAGTGCCATCTAGAACAAGTTTCGTTTTCCATGCGATTTTGCTGAAAGAATTGCAAGGGTGCAAGATTTCTACCATTACCCCGTGTCACAGAGTTTGCGAAGCTTTTTTTCGGCAGCTCGATTGCCGAATCGAATGACCATTTTCGAGTGGCTTCTTTGAGTGGCGTCTTTGGAGTGTAACGAGCCTCGGCCACTGGAGAGCCGTATGATCAGCCCTCTCGGTGCTCGAATATCGGTTAACACTTATCGATGCGTATAAATCTTGATCCTGCTGCTAGTTACCGAGTCGTGGAGCCGCGCTCGCGAAGAAATTAGAGTCGCTTTGATACGTGGAAAGGGGTCGAGCGGGCGAGCTGCGGTTAAAGCACGCGACAACGAGTGCTCTAAAAAAGGAGAGAAAAGTGGAAAGTCGAGAGAGAGAGAGAGAGAGAGAGAGAGAAAGGGAGAAAGAGCGAGGGAGAGAGGGGGGGAGGGAGAGAAAGAGACGATTTCACGCACACGTGTAACGACGACATTCCGCCGGGCGGTTTTATAACTTCGATAAAAACCGTGTCTTGATTTTAACAACGTCACGTCGTTGCGCCGTTTTATTCGAGCCATTAAAACTCCGCGAGTAAAAGCATCTTATTTATGTGCGCCGTTGCCCCGGCGAAGGACCGCCGTGGGATGTGGGGAATGGTCGGGGGTGGCGAAGGGAAGCTAGGGGGTTGATCGATGCGTTTCATTTTACTAGAGAAAATCGAGTTTATCGAGAGAGCGGAAAGCCCGGAATGAAAGGAACGCTCGGCCGGATCGAATCGGATCGGCGTAACCCGTTCGTTCCGTTCTACCCCGGGCCTGTTTGTTTCATTAAATTGAAAGGCAGTCATAAAATTTATTCGCGGCGAGGTTAACGGCACCCTTTGATTCAGCGCGAGGCAATCTCGCGGTGTTAAGAGTTCCCTCGTAAATCACCGATCCGCGCGCTCCCGCATCTACCGCGGCGGCGAACCGTCAACCCAATAATAATGAGCTTCGCCGTGGCACCGTTGTTGTAGAAAATGAACGGGCTTGTGATGCGATACTCATCCGCCGCTAGACCGGCGCGGCGGACGTCTTTCGGGCTCACGAAACTTTCGATCTTGCACCCTTGAACGGCCTCCGACAAGACCCCCGTAATCCAACTTCCTCTGGGAAACTCGCAGCCCGTCAAACTTGCAACTTTTCTCGGCTTCCGCTTGTTTCGAACCTTAGACGTAAGGACGATGCTCTCGAGCGCGCTCTTAGGAAGACGGATTTTTTTTCATTCATTTTCAGGCGAATACTTGATCCATTGTACACCTAAATCAGGGCCCTCCGATTCGGTTAAATCGGCTGGTTTTGCTTTTGCGTTACGCGATGGTAACTTTCTATTTTCTGCATTAGGATTTTAGTATAGATTCGGTGCTTAAAGCGAATTATTAATTTTTCCTTCTAGACACTAGAATCTAGAGGGTCTTTTTGATCGGGTTCCGTACAAGGAGGTTCAAAGAGACGGTTGGTCTGGTTAATCAATTTTTAAGCGAATATTTTATGCATTGAGGAACTAGATTGTGACTTTCTGATTTAGTCAGACTATCAAGTCTTTCTTCCAGAGAGATTTTGATAGGGATCTGAATAAGAGATTTAATCTCAAAACAGATCTGCCTTTACACTCGTTTGAAAAAATTGTTGTTCTAGTTAACCAATCTTTGCTTGCATATTTTTTCATTAACGAGCTTCATGTTACTCTTTCAGTTATGTACTTTCAAGATTGTAAATCAGGGATGCATCTCTAAAATATAGAAAAGATGAATATTTTTTGAACTAGATAAAAATCAGTGCTCCTTCAAATTATATTATTATGAAGCAACCGTCGGGCAATGCGAAGAAACTAAAGCAAAGTACAAGAAACTATGCAAAAGAAAACTAAAGGACATCTTTATACATAAAAATGGGTTAACATCGAATAAGGAAGCTTGCTAAAAGAGTTCAGAATTCCTGTACCTTATCGAAGCAAATAGCTCTAAAGTATGTACGATTAGAAGCCCGAACAATTTGCAAAAGTTTTACCAAAATTCTCGTCTTCGCAGATGCAGTTCGAACAGCAAACATGTCGGATCACTTTCACCCGTTCGCGATTCCCAATAAAGAGACCGCCACGGTATGAAATATTGTCCGAAGAATTCTCATGTAACTTTCATAAAAGCCGACGTATGCGGTGAACCCTTACGAGTTCCCTTCGATTTCGATAGGGCAACGAGCCGGGCTCGGGCAGTTTGAAAAATAAAATTATGGTAAAATCGGGATCCGGCGTTGGCCCGGCGCGGCGTGGAGGATCGCCTCGCGGGGACTGTTGGATCTCGCTTCGGGCTCGGTCGAAACGCGACGATACAGAGGAACGGGGGGGTTTAGAGAGGGAGGGAGAAAGCCCTGGATCGATATTCGCCGATTCTCTCTCGGTTGTCGCTCGTCTCAAAAATAAAACGCCATCGGACCGGAC